ATATGAAAGCTATACTATACTTTTTACCATACTACTTTTAGAAACTGTAAGAGACCATATGCGTCATTGCGTTCCAGAAATATGATTCTATTCCTTTTCTCAAGTTTTATACTTATAGCTTACTAATAAAGTTCTCAATTTTAATGGGAAATTAAAATCAAGAATCAAAATTCAGAGTCAACATCGTAAAACATTTTCCGCAAAGTCTCAAGGATCTGAATTTTTTCCAAGAAAAATGAATTATACTGTTTTAATATTAAAGATTATCTCTCATAGTGTTGCATCCTTTATGAATAAATTTTAAGATTATTAATATTACGAAAACAAAACCAGTGCAAAAAGAATGAACAGCCAATCATGAACGAACGACATAAGAGAACTCTTTTTCTTTTCCGCAACCAAATTGCTTTGTTGCCTTCTTCAAATTTATAAAGTCTTTTCAAGTTCATAGATGGTATGAGCGGAAGCATCTTCCTTGAATAATAGGTTTTTGTTTTCTCTAAAAGCTTGAAGAACTGATTAGGATGACAAATTTTCACTCTCATACGAACTGCGACACATGCTGAAAATAATAATACGATGCAAAAACATAAAAAGAAAATTATTCATGTTTATTGTCAAGAAACTAATTATTAGCAATCTGAGAGTCAAATTGATATCGCTAGGTAGCTTTAGAAATACGATTTCGAAAAATATTGGTCATCGAATTATACGATATACTCTAGTATTTGGGTCTGAAGAAGGCAGCATCGACTTGCCGAAACGTCACAAATAATAATAACAGTATTTTCAGGAAGAGAATTACTAAAAAACAAAAATCATAAGAGAAATTCATGAACGTGGTTGCACTTTTCGCTTGTTTCTCTGATCCATTCTTTTAAGTTCAGAAGTGTCAAACTTGAAAGGCGAATTGACATTTAAAAGTTGAAACTTAAATTGAATTACGCTTTCAAATGTGGTATATGTGACAGAAGAGATTCAATACAAACAACAGCCAAGCTTCCGAAATTCGTGCAAAATCTGGAAAAAAGTTCTCATCTTGTGAAGTTTCTTGAAGCATTAATTTTTCAATTTCAGAGCAACTGATAAAGAATGATCTCTCTTATTTATTTCAATGTAAAAAAAAAATTAGCAAAATTTCAATGCTTGTCAGAAGCTTTGACCGATGAAAATAATTGAAATAAAAAATGACCATATAGATTTGCTCTAATGTTTCAAGAAGATCGCCCTCCGATGTAGTACGAATTCTTTTTAAAGCTTATCTCAAAACAGTGTTAGTGTATCTTGGAATCATTTTTAACGAAATCGCGGCTTTTATAAGTAGAATTAAAAAACTTAGCGGAAGACGATTATGTAAATTAAGAGAAAACAATATTAAGATATTGCTATATTGAAATCGTATCAGCAGTTTCTATTATTAAGAGAAATCGCCAGAATTCTGCACAATGACCTTGGGGTAAATTCGTTATTGCAGTCACTAAAAAAGTTCGTTAACACTGGTACATTAATTATCAGATGTGCCTTTTCGATTCAAACCTAAGCTTATCTAAGAAAATACTTTATTGAAGTAGTGATAGACAAACTGAAACAATGACTAGAAGGTCACTAGATATCTTACTTAATTATATACCGCTTCCGAAACACTCTCATTTAGTTAGATGCTTCTTAAGCTCCTCAATTTAGAGCTACATTAAAGCGTGAGTAATCACGAATAGTAACGAATAAGTCGAACTCGATATGAAGGGGTCTGGTTCATTATGTAGACGAATGAGTATGAGCTAATACTTAAAAATATCCATGAATACTAAAGAATATAGATGTTTGGATCAATAATACTGTCATAGACTTAGATATGTGTTGAAATAGATCAGAAGGTTTTTTAAATGTGTGAAAAGACACAATTAATTCTGAAAACATGAGTCTAAAGGTGAGTAATTTACGCATATTCACATATTCTTATGTCGATTGACTCATATTCATGTTTAATGAGTAATACGCATGGGTTTTCATGTCGATTCATTCAATACTATCCGTTTATGTATTAATTGATTGTGCTTAGTTGGCTCTTTTATTTGAAGAGCTGAAAAGTATGTAATTAATTACAAAAATCGCGGTATTAGCAGAAACTGATGTAGACCAAGTAGTTTAGATTTGAGTGAGTGTTCTTCATTGGAGACAGGAGCTCTAGCATATTAGTATTATCTTTCCATTATATCATGTTACGATGTGAACTAACTAATACAGTTAAATACTCATTGACAATTGAATTTCATCAATATGCCTAGTTTTTATTATGCTCTAGAAGCACTGCTCGTCGTCAGTTCCGAAATTTTTAAGCTAGTTATTTTGAAATCTTGGGATGTTAGTAAGATAAGAATGTAAAGATTCTATACTAGCCAAGTTTTGAAATAAAGTGATTATTTCTCATAACGAGTTCGTATCACAAAAATTTCAAAAAAAATTCATTTCTTCGAACTATACACGATTGGAAAAGTCCATCCGGCTGATCATGAAGATTTAATTAAATGCTGTTATCAAGTTTTGGTGTTGTTATCTAATAAATACCGAGTAGTAAGATGTTAAAAAGTGAAAATTTGATTATTTTCAAGAAACCTAAGAATTTTAACCATTCAAAATGAACAGAACTTTTTACCACGTAGGTGTTTTTGAAAATATTTATTTCTCTAATGAGCAGTCTATCTTACTGTAACCAAAAGGGATTAATAAAAAAAAGTTATTTCTATTGATTATTTCAAAGCAATTCCCATTTAAGTTTCAACATCGACGTATAGGAAAAAAGAATGATGTGCACCTCGACAAACGTAAAAAATCTTGTACGAAAAGTCCGCGAAAAGAATGAAAGTTTCATACAGATCATATCAAAACTTTGTTAGATTTCTACAACATTGATTACCTACATGTGAATATTAGAACTAAAACTATAACTGACTGAGAATAACTAATAGAACATGAAACTCCTTTTGTATCTTTTGATTGCAGTAAAATGAACTTTTCTCAGCAACAAAAAAAAAGTTTTCAAAACACATAAATACTTTAGTTTATTGATAATTCTAATTATATTTGATTACCGACGAAATGTTTCTACACTTCAAATACAAAATTTTAAAAGTAGATGTTCGTAGTCGATTCAATTAACAGTATACAGTGAGGCATAATTTATCGAAAACAAAAATGTTGTAGTTATTATATTACCAGTGTATGAAGCAGTCATCCCTAGAAGTTTCGAGCTCTAAATTCATCGAATTTCTCATGAATTGAAGCTGACAATAACTAGTTACACAACGTATGAAAAGTCATGTTCATCTTTCTTTGTATGCATGAGTTTGCAAATTCTGTCAGTTTCGTATTCTCTTTGCAAAACAGGTTGCATTCAATAAAGTCAAGGTAATAGTGAAATTCTAGAATTCTCTAAGTTAATAATTAGTGTGCTTTGCGCTTCTTTCAATGCTGGTATTGTCATTTTGGTATTATCATGCCTGTAGTATTACTCTAAAAATAGTTTAAAAACTTCGTTAACAGCTATACGAAAAAGTTTGAAAACTGGAAGATAATATCTTAATGTCTTCATGTATAATTGAACACTAAAACTTTATAACTACGGTGTACTGCGAATATCGTTTTTTTCTTTTTAAGTGTTTTCTACTAACCTATCCACATACGTTGATTGACATCTGTGATGAGTTTATTATTGGAATTACTCCCGATTATAATCATATGGTTGCTTTCAGAAACTTCTTAAATACGCCTTGGCCACACAATAATTGCGTGTAGAATGATTAAAAGAAAAGTTACAGCTGAGTTAAATTGTTTGTTATTTTTCAGCCATATTACAAATTCAAGTAATAGCTAGTCGAATATACATTGGAACCGTAAAAGCACCGACTATGCTGATTATACTCTAAACACGAAATTATCTTGACTTTTCTATCAGTAAATGCATTTGTATTATCATAAAGTGGTAGATTGAAATATGTTTCGTCAAAGTTCAATTTTTATTGAAAATTTCGAAATTGTTGATGGTCATAGAATAATGTCTTCGATTTTTTCAAAATAATCGATCTTTATCATGAACTGCAATTTATTGTCTTAATTGATTCAACATGACTTTTTTTTAATAATCTCGAATCATGATTAAGAACAATGCGACTGTTGGAATCTAGCCTTAATTTCTGATCAGTCGAAAATAAATAATTATCTTGAAAGTATTAGTGCAGATGTGAGTCTTCTCTGCATACAAATCTTCACTATCACACTGATGGAAACTCTTACCTGTACGACCTTCATCATGGTTAACATCGTAATATTCTCACGCAGTCGCTTACAATTCGGCTATACTCCTCCTTCAAACTCTTCAAAAAACCTATTCTCATTTTAAATTAACGATCATTTAGTACCTTTTTTTGTACAAATTTTTGAAATGCATTAAATCAAAAATAAAACTG